ACAGAAGATATCTCATTCCAGCCCCACCGTTGGTAGGTATGCTGTCCACTAGATTCAGGTTACTCAGGGCTACATCCAASCTGGCCTTGAATTCCAGGGATGGRGTACGAGCTGGTGATGAGCTGGTTTACTTTGAGATCATGTCTCTGGGTATTTTCAGCTAACCAATATTTACATWAAACACTCTAAAGTCAGTTCACAACGTACACTGCCTATCTGTCAGCAGGAAGCAGTTCTCGGTCAAAAAAATCCAACTTGCAGATCATCTCAGAATTTCTCAGAGATAAACACCTGAATGAAGTTTGCCATCTTATGGATAAAATGTAACATCACCCTCACTTAAGGAAGATGGCTCTAAATCACTGTAAGAGCATGTGCACCTGTAACCCCTGGCTGCTGGACTCACCAACAGAACCAAGCCTGAGCCATTGCATCACATGAAGTTAAATTCTCTGCAAGCTCCTGAAATTATAAAGACACACTGTACACTGATTGTGCACAGTATGCTAGTTCTGAACTCAAGAAAATCCAATTTAAACACATTATTCATCACGTATCATTAATCTATAGATGGTAAAACATCATCTTTACCCTACATAATTTGAATATTTTAACTGCAAAACTGGAAAAGGTGGAACCCTCACAGAAGAGCACATAATTGATAAATACAAATGACAGAAAAAAAACAGTGAAAAGAAAGTTCTTTTATGTCAGTGCCCAAAGGAAACTTCTGGTAGCATACAAAGCTGTCTTGYTCTGAAAATGTTCCAGGGTGCCAGAAGCAATTCAACAAATTAAACAYAGACAAAAAAGAGTCAAATTGATGTGGTTTCTTTCCAGATGATTTATCACTTTTAAGTAAAGGAAAACAGAGTCTTTGTACCACAAGAGCTGGACTGTCCATTACAGCARTTACAGAACCCCCTAACAGCATTCATGAGATGTAAATTGAGTACTCCATGATAAAGTTMATGATATAACATCATTAAACCCAGGAATCCTGACCCTCAGACTATATCTAGACAGGCAGGCTAGGGCTTGTTAGCTGGCCCCAACACCAGTGGCATGAAATGGCTCTGGTTGGTGGGGTTTAATCCTCTCCTTGCAGAACCAAAGGAGCTCAGGCACTGGGCACTGCTCTGTCCTGCTGAGCCCTTCACCTGCCATTCTTAGATTTTCCTACCACCAGCACCAACACTTCCATACTGTCATTTAAGTCTATTAATGCTAATGTCATCCCTACTTAAAAATGACGAATTATTTTCCCAATTTGCAGCAGCATTTCAGATTTTTGGATATTATCATGCCCTTAGGTCTTATCTTTGGCATAAACTCTTCTACTGCCTTTCTTGTTCAGTGGCTCCTCATGCTTTCTGAGTAATCTTCAGGTTTTTTTTTCTTATCATCCCTCTCCACCCTGCTCAGCACTGCTGGCAAAAACTTAAACTGAAAAGCTGTGAGTGCAGCTCTGTTCCTCATGTCCTGCCCTAGCTGGGAAACCAATCTGAGATTAAAATACCTAAAGATTCATTGTTCCTTGTGGCTGATGTTTTCTGGATCTCTGACCATAGTTCCTGTCATCAATTGCCTGAAGACACAGCCTTCACACAGATTTCTTTGTAAAACATTAGAGATTACATTTGTTATGGAAAAAAGCACCACCTCTGCAGGCTTTGAATGAATATTGGATTTGCTGGTATGTCTGTCTTTCACACTTGTGTCAAGGTGCTAAGTGCTAAGCATTGATAATCATTAGCTGTATACATTGCTGCTTAGCCAGCATATTTGGCCCTGAATGGACTAGAAATAACACACCAAATGATGAAAGCATACACAAAATACTGTTTTGTTCATGGACAGTCAATGAAACTGCCTGTTAAAAAAAAATCATGGGCTTTACATCCTATATAGCCTGTGTAGTGCAAGAAACCAGAAACACAGAGCCAGGCACGGGGCTACAGACAAGAACAAAACTGCACTAAAACAGCCCATGTGAGCTTTAATTTCAAGGCAACAGCTATCAACATCCAATACCGGCATTTTTAAAGAGCTGCAGGTAAATTCACAGCATCTAATTCCTTAATGACTGCAGCCACGGTATGCAAACTCACACCACTGTTATTTCAGCACAGACTCCTGGCTGGGGACTTTCACAGTCAGTGCCACTTTCCAGCACACTCAGAAGTCACAGGTACTACCACGGCAGTCATGATCTGTTCCCAGTTGGAACAATGCACTGGGAATGCAAAAACCAAAGCTGTAATACAGAAATATGCACGGCTGAAAAGTACTGTCAAGACATTATTAAAAATAGCCATATGAGGGGTACTGTAAGGAAAGAACATCCTCTGAAGGRAAAGCTGACTGATTATCCAAGACATCATGGAAAAAGTTCAAGAAATTTGGAAACCAACATTTTTCTAAACGAAGTTTTCTATGAAACATGCTAATAAATCTTTTGGAAAACAGGCTGTGCTGCAGATTTTCTGTTGCCTGCCATCTGTCTATGTTTAGAGAAAACWAATATTTTCGCAAGTGTAATTCTTACATACATGGATGTGCTTTTATTAGTGCCACTGGTAAAAACAGAATATACTTTAAAATCAATAGTTTTCTGTTTGTTTTTATATCTATAATTTAAAATGCTCTTTTCTTGTGACAAGAAAAATAAAATCTGCAAAATTTAAGGAGGGTTTGGGATGCTTTTCTCTTGTTACTCTTTCACTCAGTTAATTGTTTCCCATTCCATTCTACCTTCAGCTGCATTTGTGCAGGAGTGAACAGTCCAAAACAAACACTAAAGGAAGGAATCTGATCCTCACTATTGTGATCCAAAGAGTTGGGTTTTTTCATATTGTGGTTTGTTTTTTTTTTTTAGTGGGGTTGGTGATTGTTGTTTGGGTTTTTGTATCAGTTTGGGGTTTTCTTTGACTAAAAGAAATGCTTTCCCTGAACTCATACAAATTCTCAGGAATAAAACCCTTACTGAGTTTCTAGACAGACAAGGCTTAGTATGTAAAAGACATAAACAAGAAGCCCATCAACATTATTTTTAACATTACTTTCATTACTTTAAATATTTAAACTCAACTTTGGTGTGGGATGTGTATCTGAAATCATCAAATAAAATCAGAGTCAGCCACACTGAACTAATATGCATAATTTCCTATACAACATTAAGTTTTAAATTAAGTTGATCAGGGAGGTTTTTGAAAGATAAATACAACCTTGGTTTTTGATGGAAGTGGTWGAACTGCCCAGGATTAGGGTCCAAACAGTCACAGCCAAACTGGAGCACCAGGGTCACCTGATTTGTACAGTACTAGGGTGGTTAAAATCTGCAAATTGCTGACACTTCTTATGCTTTAACTGGAGATACTGCACTGAGTAGCTATTGGGGSTCTTTTTTCTGCATTCTTTGTTGKTTTTGGGGAAAAAAAKGTCACACTTAAAAATCCCCCAAAASCTGAACTGAAGCAGGAGCTCCTGCAGACCTGTCCAGAATGCAGCTGTGAAATGCCTACAAGTTCAGTGTGACCAGTTCTTGTTTTAATTGAGCTATGAGCAATGTGAGAAATAACTGTTTCCTAACCACACAGAAGAACAAATGCTAAAATATACTTTCAAGTAGATGTTAATACCTAATGCTTCATCACTGGAAAGCTACTGGCTTTAAAATATGTAGAAAGCTACTCCAAACAGCATTAYGACTAAGAGATGATCAAGACAAAAACCAACAGAACTTTGAGTCAGTCTCCAACTTCTCTTGCTATTTRTCAAGTTCATTATTTAAACACAAGATTGCTTTCTTAATTTAATAAACATACTTATGGCTTAAATTAAGGCATAATCCAGCTGATTGAAATTTTCAGTAAAATATTTTTGTTGCTTTTTATTAGTAATACCTGGTTCAGGTTACTGCTGGTCAAAGTAACAGTCAATTAAAGAGGAGACTGAGAACCAGACTGCCTTAGTATTATCTTCCATTAGGGCAATTAGTAAATCAAATGTAGTGTTGGACTCAGGAAGCCTTCCAAAAAAGTCAATAAATCATCCTATCAGACAAGGCTTTAAGCAGAGTTGGTAAAAYTCTGAAGCCAGAGTGTGGTTTTAGAGAAAAGCTGCTCACATTCTAGAGAAAGAATGCTACCACTGCCCACAGAAATTATCCAAAAAACACAGGGCAAACTTTTGGAAGCTCTAGCCAAAAAAAACAATAGCTGACATCTAACAGACACACTTGAAGAGAGAGCCCTTCAACTCCAATTCAAGATAACAGCTGGAGACTCTCAGCTTAAGAGCAATGCCTCTGATTGCATCACTGTGACAATACCTTTGTGAATGACATTCTGGGCTCTCAAATACTCGAGAGTATTTCTTCCATGCAATCTGCAATCATATTCAAGCATTGTATAATACTTCAATTTTCTATTTCAGTTGTTATGTGAAGTGTTTGAGGCTTCTTGGAATCGCAACTTAAGTGCAGAACAGASTCCTCCCATGAAGCCAAATAGATGGAACAAGTATTATGCAAATCCCATCATCTTTCTATCTACAAAAGCTGATGCATAAAAGACTCAATCATGTTATGCAGGAAAACACACAATTTCAGGAATATGAAGTAAGACCAGCTATACCCCAAAATTTTTATATTCACAAATTCCTTCACAATGTAGGAAGAGATGCAAAATAACAGCTGACATCCCAGGCTCATTTCAGAACCTGACAGACCACGCTTTGGCTACTCTTGGGACAAASACTAAACTAACTTAGGCAGAAAGTTACTGAGCAGCAAGTAGCTTTAAATCACAACTGTCTCTAGCACCGTATGTGCTCCATTGGGGATAAAAAATTAGACTGTTTTCTTCAGAATTAGAAATCACAATTCCTTGAATGAACAACAAATAGAAGCTCAAAGCCCCAAACATAAGAACATTTAYGCTTTAATATTTTCCCAATGAAAATACTGCCTGTTAAGCTTAGAATAGTGCTACTACCTATTTTTTTTACCTATTTGGCTTGTATTTTATTTCTAAACATTCTTAATATGCATYTGCTTCCAGGCAGCATTTTGTGACCAACCTGTGTTATTATCAGAGACAGCCCTTGGAGTTTACATGAACRCCTATGAAAGCTTCCTGGAGCTCTACTCATCCTGCCTTTTAAACTAGACTAGTAGCCCAGGTACCTAGAARTGAAAACAAAGACAAAAAAGAGATGCATTTAATGCACCACGGTAGTATAAATCCTCTTGGAGTAATGGYAATTTAACCATTCTCTGCATTTCCTGAATGTCAGTTTATAATAACACATTCCCTTATATCAACAGCTTTGACAAGTCAGGAGAAGTAAAATAAAAGGTGACAACAGGGAAAGTGCCAAAAAAAAAAGACCATGTTTCTCACAAGTAAGCATTGTAGCAGACTCATTCAATGCTTTTCCTCCATGTTAACCTACACCATGATAAAGCAGTGAAACAGTCACACAAGCACAGAGTACTGAGTAAATAAAGACTCTTAATGCTACCCTGCTATAATGCAAATGAACAAATGGTCAAAGGCATTCACTAAAATTGAAACCCACACATCAGAACTCCTGGAGAGCACCATATTTCAAAAGATGTTTGAAGTGTATAGCTGTACCAAAGCTGGACACAGAACATTCCTTGCTGGATTTGATGATCAGACTCCCAGTGAGGTTCTTCAATGAAAGCAAACCCTACYAAGCCAGTCCTAAATACATACTGGTTTTATATAAATATGTTTGTGAGGGAAAGTATGGAGTTCTTATCACATCACTTATTCTGGCTGGTTTTGTTCTGCATTTAGGCATTTGCTTTCAAGGTCATCTTTATTCTGAGCAGTTGGTTCCTCACTCTGGGCAATGGAGATTTCTGACTGCTCTGCCTTTGCACTGCTGTCAGCCAGCTCCTCTTCAGCAGAGGCAGAGCTGTGCAGCTCCTCCACGTGSAGCGTGGGATTGGTCATTTGCTCTGGCTCTGGTTGAGAAGCTGGTACACTGCTGTCTTTGGGAGGCTGAGGGCAGTTGATAGGAGCTATCACCACAGGAGGCTGAGGTAGGTCTTTCTGTAAATGGAAGATCACAGTCAGAATGRTGGAAAGCAASAACTATTGCATCCAGTTATCTGAGRTAATGGYCAYAGRAGATGAAGATTAAAGGTTCATCATCTCTGTTATCATTCTCCAGCAGTGGACACATGAATACAGTTATCCTTTCTTTGTCTTTTACAGGACACCAGGGGAATTTTTCCTTCCAAAAAAGTGTCTGTTTCTGAGTGATTGCTCCTCAGCAGTTTTGGATATGCTTTGCTGATAAGGCAGCAATAGGCACTTGGTCCTTGGCCACTGTCCAGTTCTGCCCACCTTTACCAGTGTACAAGAACTGGCAACTTTTACATAACATTTCAGATCATCTCAAATATTTCTCCAACAATTAAATTTGGTTCTCTAGTGGAAACTTGTGAAGGTATCATAACTAGTTGAATAACAAATAAAACTAGGGGAACCTCTAGCTTGATATGTTTTTCCTTCTAGTAATTATTCAAAAACTAAAATCGTGCATCATGATAGAAATTCCTTTTTGAATCAATTTCATTTCACTTGCAGCACAATGAGTCAAAGTGATAATTTACTATACTGAACTATATTTCCACCTCCATAAACAGTAGGCTATGAAAAAATATGAAGAAAATATTTTAAGGGTATGTTTTACATAGTACGAAACCCCACATTTTATATAATATTGTAACCTTTTACTACTACTGATACTTMCAAGAGAGATTAAACAAATAACATTATGGCAGAATCAAGGGTAGACAAGGTTTATTTCACTTTTCACTAGACTGGTTTAAGTGGCCATAAACATTGTAAAAACCAGAAAACCTCACTAAGACAAAAAAATATGTAAAAAAAGAAACAACCAAGCAAAACCAAAATCTTTGTGTTTGTGTGATAATACTGCAATATTTTACTCAACTTTAATTCTAGTTAGGTTTTTACAATATTAGTATTTCCTGAAGACACTCATATCAAACTGGTATTCACCGCAAATCCGCTGCCCGTCCAGAACATGGCAAGCTCCCTTCTCCAAAGGGCCACGGTGAAGCTGGTGAGGAGAGTGCAGGGCACCAAGTAGAGGAGAGCAGGCTGGCCCATCTGCATCAGTGCCAAGGCAACAAAGGTCACAAGAAGGCCTATGCCATATGCTGCAAGAAAACAAACCCAGCAAAAAACAGTTAWTCAGATACAGTTTTGCTCAAGCACAACTAATTAGCTAAAGGAGCATTCTCACAGGAACTTTTTTCAAGTAATATGTAAAACATYTCCAGAAGTTTTTCAGGCCTCTTTAGAGAAAAGCATTATTTGCAACATGTAAACCTGGAATACTGCAATTTTTCTATTGATAATAACATGTGAAAGTAGGTTGATTGGCCTAGTCCTTGGTGCAATTAAATAATTACCTTCAGCAAAATAAATATCTGAAATATTGTGCCTCATATTATATTTATAAATTCAGCAGATACAGACAAATATTTTGACCATTATAATGTGCTTTTTGTTTCAATTGCCTTTGGCTGTTTCTTACTATCCTGTCACACAACTAAAAAAAAAAAAGCCAGCCTGCTCTAAGTCTAAACATTTTTATTACTTGCCATTCAATTTCTGCATAAATGTGGCAAAATTTATTTAATAGAAGAGAAGCAGCTGGGATCTCATAATGTAATTATTTTCAATTACACTTTCAAGAGAATGTAGTTAATCCAACTCATTTTCTTCAGAAGGTAAAGAAAAGCATTGAGGTGCTGGGGAGTGTCCAGAGGGAATGAAGGGAATGGAGCTGGGGAAGAGGCTGGGGCACAAACCTGAGAGAAGCACCTGAGGGAGCTGGGGGGGCTCAGTCTGGAGAAAAGGAGGCTCAGGGGGGACCTTCTCACTCTCCACAACTCCCTGACAGGAGGTGCAGACAGGTGGGATCCCACGGGACAAGGAACAGGATGAGAGGAAATGCTCTCAAGTTCTTCCAGGGGAGGTTTAAATTTGATACCAGGCAGAGCCTCCTCCCCAGAAGGGTTTTCCAGTTCTGGCACAGCTGCCCAGATCAGCAGTGGAGTCCTTATCCCTGCAGGGATTTAAAAGATGTGTGGATGTGGCATCTGGGGACATTGTTAGTGGTGGGTTTGGCAGTGCTGGGTTAACATCTGGACTTGATGATCTCAAAGAGCTGTGATTTGAATACCTCATAACTCTTCACAGTTCTTGAAAATGCTTTTGGGGGGGGCATATTCTGCTATTATTGAGAGTTCCTTATATCTAGTTTAAAAAATTCATATTGTTTCTTATTGTGATTTAAGTCCATTGCCTCACATCTCATGTGCACACCTGTAAGGAAAGTCTCTCTTGTCCTCTCTGYAGCCTTCCATTAGGCAGCTGTGGACAGAAAGAGAATCTCCTCTTTGCCTTCTCTTCTGTTACAGCCCTGTGCTCCAGCTCTGCCATCCTGACAGTCTCCACTGCATTTTCTCCAGTATTTCAGTGTCTGTCTGGCACCAGGGATCCTGGTTAAGACTCAGTCTTAAGTGAGAAATTGAGAGGAATAATCACTCCTCTCATAACTGCTGACTCCATTTGCTWACTCAGCCCTGTACTAGGCTAATTTTCAGTGCTGCAATAGCACACTGCTGCCTCTTTATCAATACATTTTCCTATTTCTGCAAACACATTTTGAAAGTATCAGATAAGACAGCAATTTTGTTTAAGTATAWATGAGAGGAAATTATTTGGAACATAAATAAAAGCATCTCTCTACCCCTACTAGAAGTATCCACGAATCTAGGTATTTTTTTCAGAAGAATTTYTAAAGAAGTTGTTCATGAAAATTTCTCATGAAATTTGCTGCAAGCATTGGAAGTCTTTACCAGAAGTACATTGTAAGAAAGACAACAGGAATCTGTCAGATTCTATTCATCAGTAGTATTTAGGTTCATGGCATGTAACTGTGGATTTTACAAACTAAAGAAGAAAACTTCTGTAGAAGTGTTACAGTCATCACAATAAAATTCCCTGCATCAAAGGTCATGGATTTTTAGAATACAGAAGAAACTAAGAACGAAGTCAAAGGATGATATTCCTGAACCTGAATTCTCATGCACAATAAACTCAAAGATTCATGAATCAAGAAACCACAATGAGTAGTTGAGCACATGTAAAGATAGTGTAGCTACAAGGGTTGGCTACCTTGGCAGCCATAGTAACAAGAAGCTTCTCTTAAGTAAGGTAACAAGACAGCTCAGGAAAGCAACATCAGCTAGTTTGGTGATGGAAGAGCTAGCCTTGAATGCCCTTTGCTAAATATTTCTGTTTGGGGAACAGGAGAAAAACCCTARCTATGCCATGCAAGATTGATGACATGCTTTCAGAGAGAGCCACTCCTGTAGGTCTTGTGTTCAGGTGGCCCTGTGGTACGTACCTATTGTGCAGGCTACAAAATAGACTCTGGATGACTGCACCTGAATATCAAATCTATGGCAATAGGCTACCAGTAAGCCTAGGAAAGGAAAGAACAGTTACAATATGCTTTCAACCTAGTCATCACAAAAAACACATCATAAAAACAAAACCACCAAACCAGCTAGGAACTTGCAAAAATTTCCCCACCCCAACACTTCCTTTGCACCCTGTGTTTAAGCATCATGACCACACATTCAGGAGGCTGCACAATTTACAAACCAGTTATCTGATAACACAAGCCCAGTGTATGGGAAGCACTACAAAAGTAAAATAAATAGCTACAAAAATGCAGATCAYAGATAAAGATGCCATCTCATCCCTACTAAATATTTGTAAAAATATGGTGTTCACAACAGAGCATGAGTAAATTCAGCCCATCAAGCTGCTAYTGAAGACAGTAGATTTTTATAGTTATTGACTATGCCTGTTGCAGGCTGGGGGGAGGAGGGGACACTGATGGGGATGACAGAGTTCATATTTCCCAAAATACAAGAAAGTAAACAAATGATTTCTCAGAAGAAATCTGAAAGCCAGAAGGTATGCACTTTTTTCACCTGCAGTGATGCCAGGGATATTTCTACATCCTATCTAAAATCAGATTTGAGAGAAAGTGCCGTAGGAACACTGGATGTAGCATGGCTAAAATAATTAGGAAGTTTTGAGAGGTCAGGCATCTGTACTTAAACTATGTGCAAATGGACAAATAATTTCCTCTATCATCACACTCTTAAAGATGCTTTATAGTACAGAATCAGTTGCTAAATCAACTCCTGCAATTTCCCTACATTTCTTGACATCACTGCATGTGAAACTGAACCATAAGATTAATATGCATTTTTCTTGTTGAAAAGGTGAATAGTGCACAAAAAACCCCTATACTTCAAAATTTATCAGGTTTATGGTAGTCAAATCAAACCTACCACTTGATGCAGAAGTACAAGAGGAATAAACTATTGTGACAATGCAACAAGTAAAATTCTTAACATACTCAACAATACCTGGAACTAAAATGTCTCCAAATCCTAGGAGAGAAAAAGGCCTGTCACATAGTGCCAATGGTGAGGAATTCAGTCGTGGAACCTTCAGGACCATTGGGAGCTTGGAATGAAAGAGACMCATGTCTGATAAAATGCATAATGACATTACCAGAACTTGTCCCTGTTGTACTAAAACTGCAGGCTTCAAATACAGTATTTGTATCTTTTTATACATTCTTTATATACAATATTACTGACAACTAACAAAAYGTATTCAAGATAGGAATGATGAAAAACTAAACTAAACTTTAAACTTTAAACTAAACTTTAAACTAAACTAAACTAAACTTCTAAACTTTATATTAGACTTTAAAAAAAAATTGTATTAACTTCAAAGTCCTCACATACATTAGRGTATCAACTCTGCTTTAACTGCAGGTATGTAAGAATTTTAGGTAAGCTGCTACATGCATAAGAAATAACCATTTATACAGTTCATTCACCTGGATGCAATACAAGTCTCAAAAGAGCAAGACATGAATAATTTTAAAAAGTCATTTTTCAAATAACTTTAAAGACTCTTCCCTGCCCCCAGTGCTCCTATTTATTACATAATTTGCAATGTTGAGGCACAGTATGCCATTGTAAACCTCTATTTTCTTTATTATAGTACATTAAAGAAACTTTATTTTTGTTTTTCTTTTCTTATATTAGTGCCAAAATAATTTTACCAACTTATACTTTCATTACTGTTTTATACAATTCATTCTGTGCMTAAAGTTGAATCTCAAAGGGGTACTAAAGGGATACAGGAGAGAAGAACAGAAGAAGTCAAAGAAATTAGTATGGACTGTATGGATTGATTCACGTCCTGCAAACAACTATTTTCTTTTCTGTTTTCTATGTGACACTATCACATTCATTGCTGAAACAGATCCAATTAATCATTAAATTAACAAAACCAGGTTTTCCTACAGACTATTTTTTTTGTTTTGCTCACTGTATCTCACTGTCTCCTACATCTCACATACTTTACTCCCTGAGTCAGCCACATCGTGTAAGGTGTTCAAGCAATTGGCTGCTGTCCAACGGTGCAAACTCACTGAACACTGACTTCTGTTTTCTTCTGYCTCCAATTTGTGTTTCTCTCCTTTACCTATAGCCTCAGCTTTTCATAAAGCAAATGTCAAAAAAGGGAAGGTGGGGGGAGAGACAGACTGATTATATGTTTTAACTCTTCAGGAAAAGATGCTTATGCTTAATTAGCAGTAAGTTAATATTCACAGACATGGTCACGTTTTTGTGAAGTGAGCTAACGAGCTTTCTTATATCAAAACCCTGTCAAACAAAGATAAAGGAAAACCAAAGCTGGTGTGATGAATCACTACAAGCCTGCTTTGCCCCTCCAGAATAAACAYTCAGGAGCACTTATTCCCACTTTAAGTTGTTTTCAGACTGGCACCTCCATTTCAGCTTTGTGGTCTTGAATTTTAGAAAAATTAAAATGCAATAGTTGAAAGTTACTACCAGATATTYAGACTACATGCAGTACCTTTTCATGAGTGGCAGAATCAGATGGGCCTGCAGCCACCTCCACCATTATACTCTCCCCAGTCTAAAGGAAAAAACAGGAAAATTGTAGATCAGCACTTCACTCAGCAACTCTGGGATCATTTAGGAACACACAGAGAAACAAGTCATTACACTTTGCTCTGTGGGCAGCAGGCAACAGAGTAGCACTTTACTTACCTTTGTTAAAAAAGGTGTAATAAATACAAAGAATACATCATACACAAAAAGAACCAGGAGGAGTAAGGTACAACCCTGAAGGAAGAAAAAAGATATTTGGTATTTACACACTATGCATTAGCAAACAGCAAAGAAATAACAAGCAGAAGGCTATTCAAAGAAAAAGCTAACAAAAACTAAAACAAATCATCCATAYATTTTTCTTAATTCCTAAATATTTTAGATGGATAATTCTTAAACACAAAATTACATGTTAGTACCCAAAATTCTTCATCAGGTAAAATCTGGAAAYTGTGCCATTTCAATTTGCAAGGAAATATGAAGATGCTCTGCACAGGAGGATGCCAGGCATAGCTTGAAACACTATACACCCCTATACTGTCAGTCTGTACAGATTTATAGGTGAAGATGATTKGAAACAAGAATTTGAAGACCTGCTTAGGGGGCAGCTAAATGACTAATACTGATTTTWGTCTTAGGATACTGGCTAAGTTCAGAAAGATGCGAAATAAACGCCAGACTAATGCATTAGTTGTATGTCAATTTGAAAACAAACAAAACCATACCAATCAAAACAACAAGAAAAAACCCAAACAAAGACAAAAAAACAAATCCCAAACAACAAAACAAACACAAAACCCTCCAACAAACAAAAAACCAAACAACCCCCACCCAAACCCCAATATAACAAAAAAGAAAAGAAAACAAACCCACAAAAACCCCCAAACAAACCCCAAATGCATAAATAAAATGGATGGTGTGTGAATTACTAGGGAACACTCTACAGAACAATCACATGCCACTTATTGTTCTACATTATACTCACTACATCCCTCTTTTCCAAGCTGCATATGAATGGAAGYACTTATACTCCATTATAAGTGATTTTTCTGTTCAAACACATACATGCAAACATCCTCTCTTTACACCTGTTTAACTTTCATACCTTAAATGTAGGCAGGCGAATTGTTTTCAACATGTAAAGACAGAAAGCAATTCCTAAAGCATCTTGCAGAACCCAGGCCCACCTTAAAAAGAGGAGAGTAACATTTTTGCAGGAAACAGCCGGAAAAGCAGACCAAGCCTTGTCCTCACTAAGGACCTGCTTGGGACAAAAAAAACCCTTTTATTCAAAGTATTTGCTTGAAATCAACATTGTGGTCAGCATGAAATTTCCAAATGGGAAGTTGTTCTTCATCTACCTGACAACCCTCCAGAAGCACCTGGGAGATGAGGGAAGAACRGTACAGCAGTGTCCATCTAGACTTCAGTAAGGCTTTCCACTGACAATGTTCCATAAAATCCTCACAGAGAAACTGATGAAGACAAGCTGAATGAGGAGTGARGTGGATTGAAAACTGGTTGAATGAGGTCAGTAGATACCAAAATGGGAAGTGTTGGGGTCCTTTGTCCTATGTATAGGTGTGCACCCTTGTGCGCTGAGACAAATTTACAGTTGGGCCTGTTTTTCAATTTTGCAAATTGAGTATAGAAATGTTCTTTGTTTTACTCTCAGCTGTGAGGGTCAAAGAGAAGTAGGATCTGAGATAAACAAYATTAAGGTTTCCCTAAAACTGCTAGGGTCTAGAAGCAATGAGAGATGATGCTGTTGGGTCAATACCTGTGCACTTGGAGCTTTGTGCAGGAGACACTCAGGCCCACTCYAGATCTGAGGCAGAAAATGGATTTCCTAGTCCTAAATATCACAGGTTGGAACATCTCTATAGTACTTCTGTACTCCTCAGTCTGACACTTATCTCCCTAAAAGGTGTTTCAGAGTTGATGATTCCTGAATTTGAGTTCTGTCATTGAATGATCCACACAGAACACAGATCCCACAAAAACAGTAACATGCAGTCAAAGCACAAGTCAGACATCTCTGGTATCACCATCAGAAACTCAAGCCAGCATTTCAGTTCCAATACTGAGACCCTGATAGAGGAACAAAGAAGATAAACACAACCTGTACACATGGGGAAACTGGGATATCTGAGAGGGAGGTAAGAGTTAAAAAAAACCCAAACAAAAAACAAAACACAACACTCCATAAAAAATTCACCTCTACCAAAAGTGGTAAGAACATGGCACAATTAGGTACCACAGCAACACAGAGTATAGAGAACTGCTGACTCATGCAAGAAAGTTGAGAGAAACAAAAGATCTGCCAATCYTACTTGTTCTTATTCTCATGAAGAAATAAGTTAGACAACTTGTGTCCAACTTTCCATTACACTTCTGAAAAGCTGTCTTAAGTCAAAGAGATCAGAATACTGACTGGGACTCAGAGAAATTAAAGCTTAACAAAACACAGATTTCTGTAATTTAAATGAACAAGAAAAAGATGAAGTACACAAGGAACAACTAAGAATTTATGCCTGTCTCTACTTTTTGTCCTGTCACTCCTAAATTCTGGATACATGTAGACTTCTATGCATGTCAATTACTTATACTACAAAGTATATTACAATTTTTAGCACAGAAACAAAAATAYACACTTACTGATCTTCATTTCTGAAAATTCCCCAGACTACACTGACAGAAATACAAAATACTGCCAAGAGCAACATCCGGACYTGGGGACGTTTGTGAAAATAAGGCAAATTGTTGTCTGGGATTCTGAAAAAGAAACATATCAAAGCTACAGTTGTCTTTTTTTCTRAACATTTATATACATGCTTCCTTTATAAACATTTTGAAGCATGAAGCCACCTTTTAAACCCCACACCTATCTAAACAGTATAAAAACATAAGTTTCTGTATTAAAATTTTGAAAGTGCCACATACCTACACTTTCCAAAGGGGAATCTTCTTACAAAGGGAGACAGGCAACTGTAAAGACCAATTGAGGCAGCCAGGCAGAATATTCCTATGATAACATAGACTGAGGAAAAAAAAGTATTAATTCCCAGTAGGATAAGGCAGTTCATATCCTGGCTGAATAAAGAAACGTGCATCCCTCTATGGGATGCAAATTTCACTACCTCCTCAGAAATACAAAGATGGAAGTTCCAGTGCATTARGCTCTCACACTTTTTTTGTCAATCTGATGAGTGATCAACAGAAAATTACTATCTTTATAAAGATAAAAAAACTGATCCTTGATCTTGACTTCAAATTGAACAATAATACAGATAAAAGAATAGGTCTGAAAACACCTTTAACAAAATAATAAGGTGGAAGATACTAAGTCTGTATCTACATATTARGATTTAATGTTTGAAAGAAGCTTTATGACCAACCTTACAAAAAGAAGGTTGGTCATAAAAATAGAAATRGACCCAGTAAGTTTTCTTACAGTATTTTAAATCATATTGGAATGAAGACACATGAAGACAGATGTTTCATTATTATCTTAAAAATCAAATGTTCTTTAAAAGACAGCAGCCTTGTGATATTGAAGATATAKCAATACAAATACAACCTCAAGAGTACCTAAGTGGTCATAGAAGAAATAAAGGAGGACGAGCATTGAGCAGCACATCACTACAAACACACAGATCATTATGGGAGTCACATCCACTGTTTCATCATCATGTTTCTCTGCCCCATCATCACGCTTGTGCTTCATGTACCTCCTGAAAGAGTAACATGGCTACCATGAGTTCATTCCTTCTGCAACAAAATACACAAGGACGCTGAATCTTCAGTGAAAAACACATGGGGGTGAAAACATGTCACAACACCAATGCCTGCTTTGATTCCCACTCAAAYCAGTGGAACACCATCTTTTCCATGGATGTATGAACATCAGCTATAACACAATGCATTAACCAGTAACTGCTGCATTAACTTATCCAGAGTACTACTTCATTCACTAAAAACTCAACTGAAAATCCTGAAAACTATCCCGAATAATTTGCTGACTTCAGAAGAAATACTTAAGTCAGGTTTTGTAAATAAAGTTACATGTTAGAAATAAGTGTGGCACAATGACCTCCTTCTCCAAACCACACTTGTTGGCAAAAAGTAACAATAAAATTCAATTCAATTTAAAAATTGGTAACAAACATAGCATATGTAATATGGTTCACCCTACACCACTTAAAGCAACTTTTTTTTTTTTTTTTTACAAAGTATTTTTGTGGTGAATTTTTGCAAAAGCCCAAACAGGAAGCCTATTACTTTCTAATTTTCTTTCTGAGCTTTTCAAATGTTTGGCCTTGTGACATGGCAGAATACTAAAATGCTCTACATGCAGTTTATACTCTAATGATTTCCTACTGTGACCAAGCCAATGCAAAGCTTAGGACCTTTCAAACATCACATCAATGTTTTCCCATTCTGGATACACAGTCTCCTAACCTGCTCCTAACACTAGGAGAGGTGTAAGGTGATCCTTACATAAACATTATCTATTTTTTTTCTGTGAAAAATACAGGAAAACTGCTATACTGCATTCAGTTACTCACTTTTTCACATCTCTGCTTCCTGCCCAGTAGCCTCCAATTGCAACAGTCCCCACAGCCATGACAAAGATAATCACCATGTTGTAATCCAGCACGGGCTCRTTTGGTGCATACATTGCTCCTTTCACTGAGCTGCCAAAACTCTGTGGAGGTAAATACAAGTTATGAAAGACATCCAAAAAGCCACCTTAGCAAAGGTTCACTTATTTAACTTTCACTAAACAACCYCAGAATCGGGATTTATTGAAAACACTTAAGAGCCATCTATTGGCTCTTCTATTAGTGACACTTATTGCCAGCACCAGGTTTTATTTTGRTTTTATTCCAAAGATGAGAAACAACCTCCCAAGAGGTTTGATTYCTTTTCCCCCAAAACACAATAATGCAATATTCATGAGTACACACTCTACCTAGTCAAAGCTCTTTAGATGGGCTTAATACTGTTGAGGAGTGACTCATTCACATGAGATAATATGAGAGCATCCAGTATCGAGTTTACCTTGCCAATATCCAACATATCAGTATAGCTGAGCAGAGCCACAGGAATATCAATCTCTTCATACTGACTCCTATTACCTCCAGGAGGAACCTGAAAGACAGTTTACACCAGGCAAGAATGTATTTATTTCTGCAAATATGTCCATTCCTTCAAAAGTGTTAAAGTTCAAGTTCTGTTCCTGCTAATTTGAAAAATAATCTACAAGGGAACTTAATGAAAGCAAGCACTCAAAAGTTGAAATATAYGCCTGTTCCAAGTAAAAGAGAAGTMATGTAAGACTGTAACAGCAAAATGCAGCAACCAAATTTCAAGCAGTATCTTTTGCACATCTGGGTCTTGGGTTTATGACTGCTGCATGCCTCTACTATTGACCAGGACTCAAACCTACTAATTTTATTTTAAAAACTACTAATTTTACAAAATAGATGCTGTTGATGCTCCAGCTGAATCTGAAGAACTAGATTCAGTGTGGTAGTACAATGGTCATGAAACAACCTCATCCTACAGCTCCAGTATTTTGTTTGGAGTAAGGGTAATTCAGAGCCCTTAACCTGAATGTCACATGAACTCTGTGCAGACTCTTTCTGCTTAAGTGAGTGCCTCTTGTTTCATTTACTCTTCCTTCAGATGTGTGACTTCCATACATAACTATGCAACATACTCAGATGCAGGAATGCACATGCATTATTTATTTTAAAGAGGAACATCAAATACCAGCAGCAATGTGCACCAAAGACAGTATTTAATATCAGAGGAGTACTAGCAGCAGAGATAAAAAGAGACTTACCAGTCTCTCTCGACTAACAATCAGCAGCCCACGAGCTCCATTTATCTGAGCAAGCCTCACTTTCTCATAGAAGGTGCAATTTCCTCKCATCACCATGGGGATTTGATTATTAAATCCCCCATCAGGTACATCAGAAGGAGAACACAAAACAGATGCTGTCTGATCCTGCAGTTGCAAGAGTGACTGAAAAAAAGAAATTAGTTAAATAAATATACATATATATATATATATATATATATATATATATATATATATATATATATAAAAATATATATATAAATATAAAACATAAAATAAAAAAAGAAGTCAAGAGCAGAACCCAGAGTTTCTAAATTTAAAACTTTCACATAATGGAGTGGTATTCTCAGAGCAACACGAGAGCCGAATCAGTGCTGCCCTCTATTATGCAGGGTCCTGCTTTGCTTCACCTTATTGTACAGAACTCTGCTGGTAATAAAATTTGGGATATTACCTCCACTTGCATTTGTTTTCTTCAGCATTRTGGCTGTTCTGATACAAATAGCCAGGATATGGGAGGGGTACARCAAAGTTTCATCTTTGCTGGGGTGGCAGAATGGCAGGCTGGGATGATGGAGGGTATGAAGAGATGGAAAGTGAAACACAGGCTGGGGAAAAGTACAAAAGTATAGGCAGTAAAAAAAACCTTCCATGTTGAAATCTACTGTATCCAGCGAGCTGAGATTTTTTTATCTTAAGTACTTGAATATGGGATTCTAAGCTACTTCTCTCWGGGCTTGCAATACAGAGATGTTGCAAGCCTGCTCCAATTCCTCAGTTTTGGTCCTCCTCAAAGCCATCTAATCTGGGGTATTTCAACGGCAACATCCCAAAAACACTTCAAGGTTTTAGAAATAACACTGGCACAAATTGTTCTTTGCAAAATCGAAACAACCACCAGCATTTTTACCCAGTTCTATTTGCAAGTCACCTGAAAACTGCAATTATCTAYCAAATAACCAAGCTATGCTAAGAGCAGCAGGTCTCAGCCCTTGCTGAGGKGACTTGTTAGATTTGAGAAGAGTCAAAGTCAAGTTTTAACCTGAAAGAATGAGACGTGGACCGTTTTGTATTATAAATCCACAGTTACATGATATACAATACCTCTGTAACAGACTCTATTGTTTTAGGAGGGAAAGGGAAGWGTCAGGCTGTAAGCAGCTTCAACCTTCTTCAGAAAACTTCTGCCTTCAACCTGACCTCTGGAGACAGTGAAATGCTCCTACCCACACTTGCTGGTTGTCCAGGTTTCAGGTAAGCTTATCCCTCTATCAGAGCACAGCACAAATGCAGAGTGAGCTCAGAGCAGTGCACTGCATCGCCTCAGTTAATGAATTGTACTGCTGAGTACTGAAGGAGGAGGAGTGAGAATGTGAAAGAAGGGARAAGCAGGAAAGAACCAAGAAAGGAGACAGGGATAGGCAAGGGATACAACATACACAACCCAAGTGCCTGTGCAAGGTATTCTGGACTAATATCAGCTCCTGCAAAGCTACTGAGATATGACTCCAATGAATTYTTATGAGACTGATTTAAACATAATGTCTACAGTACAAGTCCTCAACTCTCATAAAATACTSCAGTCAGTCATGCATGTGCTGATTYACATTACASAGTCAGGGYAAGTRCAAGAGTKTATCAGCTGAGTCAGTATCAGACAAAGGCAACTACTGGTGTAYKTAGGGACTAATCTACAGYTGCAATAAACCCACCAGAAGTAACYGAGACTTGCCTGTACATTGGTAAGGAACTCTAATAATTCTGAGGGGCATCAACTGGCTGAATAAAATTAACCAAGTATCAGTCAACTACATCTTCCCCTATTAGCAGCTCATTCAAAGTGCATTTATTGATTTCATCATTTAGTGACAGTAACGTTTTCTCACAGAAACGAGTGAAGAATTGACTCAATTTTCAGCTCATACAGCTTTGGATAATACAGCAAATACAAAAGCCAGGTRGTATCTTCTTGTATTGTGCTGATGTACAAAAATTCCTTTGCAAGCCCAGGTATGTGCCATTTTAATTTGATTGATCACATCATCGAAAAGCAAGATTTTTGTTTTGAACCAATAATAGTTGYTACCTCTGCACAATGCCTGGACATGAATATGGCCATTTTAGCACAGTCTAGAGTGATCTCAACAGACAAAATATTTTCTATGCAGAGAAAACAAAGCAGTTGCTTCAAATTCTACTAATTCAAATAAGAAATTAGAAGTTACCTTGTAACAAAGGAATTTTTCATACATTCTTTTGTCATTGGTTAGCTARGTACTTACAGCTTTACCCAGATCATGTGGCAAATGGGCCCACTGAGAGTTGAAGAGAATACAGTAATCTTTTCCTTTGCTGCTCCCCTTCTCTGAAAGGACATGTACCATCCCATACTCACAGTACACCTGCAAATGTAACAAAAATTTCACAAGAATTTTAGGTTACATAAAGTATCAGAAGTGATGGGGGTAATTTGCTGTTGAATGGCCAGCTTGGTGCTTTTAAAGAAAAACAAAGGAATCTACTAAGTTCCCATATCTGTGCAATTTTGTTATTATTTCCATCATGCTTCAAAGAAATACTTCAGATACATTAAGCAGATTGCCTCCTACACAGCAACTGGTCAAAGAATCAAATGAAATCATACTGGATG